CCATGTGATTGGTTGATTAGATAATTGCATGAATGAGAAATTGAACAGGCGTTCCTAATAATCCTTTAGGTGAGTGTATATACAATGTTCTTGTAGTGCAGAACATATCAAACAATATATTTCCATCTCAGCCAGCAGTGTTTGCATGATCTGTTTATACAAATTCTTGCACCTGAATACTGTACATCTCTGTATATACCATGAGTATGAACTGGCCCTGACACACAAGGGATCAGCTGTCTGTAATTTTATGATATTATGACAACAGCAAAGACTGAAGAGTGTTTTCTCGATTTATTCCATATAAAGGACACAACTGGAGCTGGTCTTGTCAAATGTGTTAGCCAGACATAAACTTTGGCCTGTATACCAACAATATAACAGGCAGGGCTACACTGTCTGTGCTGCTCAGACATTTACAGAGGTGTGGAAGCTGTCATAAAGGAGAACAATGAGAGGTAAGGAGCATGCACTGATTACAGAGCGTTTCCGCACCCACCACACAACAAACCACCTCAAGGATGAGAACTTGAGTGCAGCCATGTGACACGAGACACCTCAGCACCACACTAGTTTGAATGGACCAGTGCGAGGTATTTTCCAGTGGCTGGAGCGCCAATCCTGCCATCAACCCCCAAATTATTCCCTGTAAGTTGGAGGACCTACTTATACTGCTGCATGTAGATTAACGTCATACCCAGGACACGACCAATGAGAAACTCTGCATGTTCTTAGCGTGACAAGATGGTCTTCCAAGATTAGTAACTGCAATGTTCTTCTGTCCATCATTCCTGTAGTGGTGACCGTGTATCAAATACAGACAAAGAATAGTTTCATTGTGACTCCTTAGGTACAGCATTAGCCCTAAGCAAGGCCACTGAATGAGTTTTGGGTGCAGCTGGTGGCTTTGAACAGAATCTACACACTGACTGGTTCCCTATCAAAATATCTTCAAAGAGAAAATATGGACATCAGCACAGCTGTAGGACTGGTGTGTAACTGCAGCAGTGGTGGACAGTAACGAAGTACAAGTAATTCGTTACCGTACTTAAGTAACTTTTTAGCGTATCTGTACTTTACTTGAGTATCATTGTTTTGTGAGACTTTATACTTTGACTCAACTACATTTCGAAGTGGGAAACCTTACTTTTTACTCCACTACTTTCCTAAAATGTTTCTTTTTACGTTCCACAACATACATGCGTAACCAGTGACAGGTCAAAAAAAAGAAGCAGGCAGGCAGCAGCCATAGACAGTAAAGCACGTGTACCAATCAGAACACGTCGTGTTTCGTGCAGTTTGCGCGCTTTACTGTCTATGGCTGCTGCCTGCCTGCTTCTTTTCGCTGTCACGTTTATAGCCAACGCAATAATG